CAGGAGTTGGCGTTGATTCGTTGGCCGGTGACGTCAGTAGAAGAGCCAGGCTCGTTCGAGGAATTTGAAGGGGGTGGTGTTCCTTCGCCTTCAATGTCAAAGTGGTCAGTGGAACGTGGATGCTCCATTTTTACGTAGTCGAGAGTACGCGCTGACTGTAGTTTAGTGGGTGCACACTTGTAATTAGGTGTGGGGCATGCAGGGTTCAATTAGCTGCCTCTAGCCTCAAAGAAAATGCGTAAGTCGCGGATGCGCTGCGTTTCTTATAGCAAGTTCGTGTTGAGAATGCCAATGTTGCTTGTTTGTACCATGCAGAGTGATTGGGGCGCATGCTTCAGGCGAGGCCAAAAAAACCACGTAGAAAGAAATAATTCGATGATGATAGTCGTGAGCGTGATGCATAACGTGGCTGCAAAGAAATGATAAATCCGTGTTGTTGGACTTACTGATTTAATGAGAGAGGACTAGGTACTGAGGCTGAGAGAAGCGACGCGAGTGTACTGTTAAACTGAACTGAATGACGCTCAGCTAGCGGCATTCCAATACACCAATGAGAGCTTGGGGAAAGAACGTGTTCAACTCCGTAAAGTGAGCGTCTCCTCAACGACCCGAAGGGATCAATAGAAGCGGGCGTGCTCGTTGATCTTGTTTGCGGCGAATTCTCATCTAGGCCTTTTGTAGGCATTTCGAGGAATATTACAATCCTTCTCAGTGGGGGACTGGGCGAGAAGAATTGCTCTGCGTATCTCTTTGTTATAGAGCGGTGTATTGTGGCCCACGAAAAAGAAGTGCGCGGTTTTCACGTTGCAGGAGTGGACGATTTAGAAGTTGAAGATTCTCAATGCGGTTATCAGCATAGCGCTGGGGGATTCTGCAAACGATTGACTGAAGGAAACTCTACCAGATATTCAATCAGCTTTCCGAAGAAATGAAGTTTTAGGTAAAGATTGCTATTCAGCACTAAAGCGACTGGCGGCAGAGCGGAAGGTTGACTTGTGAGAAGGAGTCTTGTGATTATGATGCAGTCTGTTCATTTCAGCGCCTGGCGTTGCAAATGCTAGCGCATCAGGAAATCTCATTCTTCAACAGTTGCGCGGGCCGCGATTCGGAAAGCATTGAAAAAAGTGAAAGGAGGACGGAAGCCCTCGAAGAAGTTCATTCGTTGAGAAACTCCGAAGAAAACTTTGCAAGAGAATATGGAGGAAAGGGCGTCTTGAAAATTCCAAGTGTCGCGTCAATTCGGATGCCTGATATTTTGATTGTTTTATGTATATCGTGTTAGCCAGCTATGTTTGGTATTGTCTGTTAGCTCAGGTTTGATTCCACCGCTCCCAAAAAATAGCTAGTGGTGTGTGTCAGTGTGTACGACTTCAGCTGTTAAACGGATCGAGGGGTGTCGAAGAAAAGATGCTGGGAACTGTTCCCTCTGACGTGCTGGCTGCGTGGAATGACAACTGAACTTGACCTGGTGTATTGGAATGCCGCTAGCTTCGTTCAGTTTCAGTTCAACAGTACACTCGCGTCGCTTCTCTCAAGCTCAGTATCTAGTTCTGCCTCATCAAGTCAGTAAGTCCACCAACACGGATTTGTCATTTCTTTGCAGCTACGTTGCGCATTGCGCTCACTACCGTCGCCATCGAGTTAATTCTTTCTAAAGTGGTTTTTGCTTCGCTCGAAGCATGCATCCCAGTCACTCTGCATTATGCAGGCGCATCCGCGACTTCTGCATTTTCCTCGAGGCTAGAGGCAGCTAGTTGAACCTGCGTGTCCCACACCTAATTACAAGGTGTGCACCCACTAATCTACCAGTCAGCACGTACCACTGCCTTATGTAAAATGGAGCATCCACGTTCCACTGACCACTTAAACACCGAAAACGAGGGAACGCCACCCCCTTTAAATTCTTGGACGAGCCTCGCTCTTCCGCACTGACGTCATGGCTAACGAAGTGACACCAACTCCTATGACCGCTTAGTGGATGACTCAGTTAACAAAATCCACACCATGACCAGCTCTATCTCGAAACGTAACGCACAGACCCCAGTGATTCCTCCTCGTTGGTTTGCATCACTCCATGTGAAGATCGCTTCCAGTGTCGAGAGGGGATTCATACCTGGATGAGAATGGAGAAGTGATTTGACAAAATTCATGAAAACCTCGTCTTCCATGTTCGTGAGCAATTCTCATCTGGGGAGTTTTGGAAGCTTTCAGCTGATATTTTTTCAATACAAGCTGTTCGCTTCGGTGATTCGCCGAACGAGGGCACTTGCAGAGAATTGGTCTATGCTAAGACAAGGAGGGGCCTTGTGAGTACCGGAACAGACCCTGATGTGTGGTGTCAAGAGATTGATGTGTGAAAGTAAAGGTTGCCAGAGGGTTTGCCCAGAAAGGATCAAGATCTATGTATTGCACGGCTTTTCCCTTTTCCAGGGAATAACTCAGCAGTTGTTCATTTCCATCTCAATTTTTGCGTGGACATGTGATTCTTCCACCGCACGCTCCACAGTCATTTGTGGGGTCTCTACAAACTTTCTCATTTTGGTTTGTTGCGGGCTTATTTTGCCTCGCTTTATCTAATTGGTTTTGCTTCAACTATTCGCCTCAACAAATTCAACTGATCAATTTTTGCTTTACAATGTTTATTAAGAGGACGCTACTCCTTCTTCTCTCTCTGAATCATTCAGCAGTTTGCTGGTTTGATGAGGTATGAACAGCTTCTACAATCTCTCGACCATTTATGCCGATAGGGACACATGATAATTGCTGGAATTGCCAAACTCTTGCTTAGCGACGAAGACGCTTCCACTCTCGAAGCTCCTCTGTATTCATGGGAGAGATTATTTCCAGGTCAGGCCAGTCTTTCTTCATTCTTGCGTTATCTTCACTGACTCCACAGGTTTATCGAATCTTCCTGCAGCGGCTACGTGGCCGGACAAGCTCAAGGACGACCACTTTCTCTACGTAAGGATTAAGACACAATAGAGTTGTTCAGAAGATGTCTCACACCGCTGTGTATAGATGTTCAACATGTGGCACCGTGTCTCGAATATCACTAATCCGGGACACATCAAAATCAATCCACCTTATGGGTACCAACCGTATCCTGGCACTAGCGCCGCTGAGTTGTTGGACTCTCTTATCTACGGAATTCCAAACCTAAAACGTCAGCAAGTCACAACAGCGCCGGCCATCTGCCCTTTTTTTCAGATTCGAAATGGATTGCCGACAGCCATATTAAAACCATGAAAGAAGACATAGCGAAAAAGTCCCCTGAATGAATTCACTTACAACCTTCGAATAAGGTATTTTTGTTACCCTTCAACGCATTATTGAAATTTCAGGTTTCTTATTCACGTCTTTGGTGACATACATCAACCGAACCACGCTTGCGAAGGCTGTCTCAAAACAGTTTCCCCAGGGCGATTTTGGCGGTGGGAAGGTAAGAGACTGAACAATTATAGTTGACTTCATGAAAGGCGAGAGATGGAATTTTGTTTCCGTGATGTCTTCTAAAGGGTGCAATAATTTTTCCAGGTCACCCTTACGGACCCCATTGGAAGCCTGCACTACTTTTGGATGCCTGCGCTAATCAGTAACCTAACTGGCAGAAAGATGTATCGGAAGACGACGTTACCAAGAAGGTTCGCCATCATCGTTTGTGCGTTGATGACCTGTTTTCTTCCCTTAGGCAAAAGCTCTCATGGCAAAAATATCCAGTTTCACGTCTTGGTAAACGAATGGACATTAAAGACTTCCAAGGTGTAGCAAAAGAGACTTACGGGGTCTGCGAGAAATACGGCTATCCAGGTACCTCGAACGCTGAGAATTCCCTTCGGAACGAGTTTGTTTCTCAGATGTAGATTGGTCCTCCAGTCAACCATTTCCACTTCCCTACACTCTACCGAAGGACTTTGAGAGAAAAGTGGCAGAAATCTGCACCGAGCAGCTCGCCATAGCAGGATATCGGCTGGCAGAAGTTTTACGTCCCATCGCTGCTGCTGTACGTCAGACCGGAGTGGCAGGCGTGACCCCGCGAGTTTCAAGAAAGAAAAGCGCAACAAAAACACAGGCGGTCGCCGAGTCCAACAAGAGTTAAGGCTTGAACGTCTTGCTGCTGCTTTTTCTGCCACTTGAGAAACACAAACCAGCCTCGCTGGTTCATTTCTTTACTGATTAACAACTGATTCATTACTGAGAAACTTCATACGAATTTCATGTTCATCATGCACGATGGTTTCTCTCCATTGGAGCCGGTGTCCCAAATGTTGAAGCCATTCCTCTCTCATTCGATGAAAGTTCCAAAGTTCTGAACAAAGCTCTTGTGAATCTCCACTTATACGCATTTCAGGGGGAAGTGATTCTCACTCCAGCAACAGAGAGGGCCCAACGATGTTTCCATATTTCTGTCCTCACTTGGAAGGGGGAACTGGATAATCGAACATTGAAGGAACGCCGGTTCATTTCTCGAAGCGCAGCAAATCTGCTTCAAACACAACATTGTGAGAATGGAAGTTCTGAGCACATGATGTTGTGATAATCTCTCTCCGCTCAGACCCAAGACTCTCATATCGGAGCTCCAGATCAAAGAACTGCAAGAGCCACGCCACGCTTGGTCGCATAAAAAGGCTTCTACGTCGAACTCAGTCTGATAACCAAAAAAGAATACTTCAAAACAAATGGAAAACAACGAACTAGACCAATGACTGAACTATCAGATATTCGAGCTGCCTTAACAGGCAAAACAACCAATGATGGAACGAAGCCGTCTATTTGGTGCTGCAGTTGCAACTGTTAAGAATTCTGATCAGGATGTCAGGAGTGTCCGGATGCGCTCAGACAGAGTGAAGTCGGATGGAATCAGAGTGGATGCCATTCCTCAGGTTCGGTAAGCTCAATTGGCAGAGGATCTGGTCTCCTCCTTGGTGAGAGATGAGTTCTATATGGTGCAGATCTCGCGCGATTATGAAGGTTGGTGAAGACTTGGCAGCCGAAAAGTTGTCATGTCCGATGGTCGGGCGCGACCTAGGAGGGTGTTGAGACGATCTGACGAGTCTTTCGGCGAGCGACATGACAGACCAGCAGCTGCAGCAGAGCCTTCATCAGAAGATTCCAGATGGTCCCACGACTTGTACGAAGGCAGTTCTTCGTCTGACCCAGGCTCAGTTGCCTTCGTTCGGAATTTGCCGTCGTCGATAACCACTCAGCAGCTCCATTCGTTGTTTGTTCAAGCCGGAGAGATTGCGTATGGTAGGCGTTCACGTTAAACTCCATCGATAACCATTTCTGCCTTGTCTCACAGTCAAGATCGATGCCGGCGCATTAACAACAGCTCGGATCGGATTTGTGAGAAAAACGTCTTCCGTCGAGGCTGTGAAGCGCTTCCACGGAATGCAGATTCGCGGCCGAGCCATAAAAGTCTCAGAGTTTACTTCTCTCGATGCTCAAGATGCTGAACGTCGAAACGCAAAAACTTCTCAAAATGATTACTTAGATGGTGACATTGACATGAAAAGTTCCATAACAACCAGGCGGATCACAAATTCAAGACAATCCGCTTTAGTGAGCGATGCGCCACGGAAGTCGGTATTTGATCGGATTCGCTAGCACATCTTTTGCTAAATCGGTTTTCTTTGTCGATAACGAATATTTGATGAAGCCTAAAATTGAGACATTAATTGCATTTGATGTCAAACCACAAATGAGAATACGGGACGGGAACATCCTTTATGAAACCCTCAGCTTTGATCAGGATGAAGTTTGCTATGCAATAGGAAAAGATCCTGCAAAGATTTCAGTCCGCATACCTCTTGTCAAGAAGCACGACTTTTGGTAAGCACGGGCTCTTCGAAGTGAAAGGTATATTTGTAGGTTTTGGGTCAGACAGAGTTTTGAAAGCGAGGGCGCGACACGATAAACGACCTATCTATAATAATGAATGAAACAGATCATCACGATGCGGCGTCAATCGGCCACACTTGCACTGTCGAATTTACGAGCCTCGGAAGGTGCAGGAGTCATTCACATCGGAGTTCAAATGTGTTGTCAAGATCCATGATCAAACAAAGCAGTTAGAGAGAATCAGGAAGCAAATCTCAGATGCGTTGTGAAGCAAGTGAGTGCCCCGGAATTCTTGCTAGTAGGTGTGGAAAATTCCAAAGTGCCTCTAGACTCAAAATCATGTTTTCAGTTTTATGGAACAATTCCCTGTTGACACAATTGTGCACATCAGCTCAGATGCAATCTGTCTTCGCGTTTCTTTGTCCTTCGTCGACTGAATCTTCCATTTTCAATGTAATGCAACTCAGGCTTGCCCCACAGGTGGCGTTGGAGACATCTCTAGGTCTGCCGCTGTGGCCGCCTTTTTAGCCTTTTCGAGAAGTCTTTTTGCTTCCTGGATGAACGATGAGATTGGTAGGTTTGAGTTGTATGACTTTGCTTACGGCAAGTTCCTCCATTGCTTCGTTCGATAAGGCTACCGCATGTACACTTTGTTGATTTGCTTCCTGGACTTGTTCGGCTGCTGTTTTCAAGTCTGTATTGGCTATGGCTTGCGATGTCGTCGTTTCAGCTTGAGTGGGTTCTACAGCAGCTTTCTGGTGGGCAAGCCTACCCTTTCTGATTTTCTTTGGAACAATGTTCTACCTTGGCATGCTTCATTGCATCTCCAATTAATTTTTTTAGCCATTGTCTCTGACTCTGGAGTAGCCAGCAACTTCTGGACATGATTTTTGTTCACTAGAGGCAAAGGAACGCCTCTACCCCACGTTCCGTCCGGAAAGATAGGTCCTACATTAAATCCCATCATGGCGCTGAGGTAGTATCCATTCAATGCTTCTATCTTCATTTTTTGTGTTTCAGGAATTTCATTGAGACACTCTCTGACTTGAAACTCGACTTAGAGACAGTCATGTATAACTACAGAGCCTGTCTAGCTGAGTAAAAGCGATCTGGGAGTTCATGGGTCGCAGCGGAATATCGTCAATGTGAGTGGATCCTTAATGCTTCCATTGAACAAGTCTTTTTTCAGACGCCTCTACTTTCTATGGCTCTGTTTTTGCTTCCTGCAATTCTTCCAACGCATCCACAATCTTGTGCAATCATTTGTGGGGTCTCTACAGACACTGCTAAGTTGTACCGCTTTACCTAATTGATTTTCCTTCAACTACCTCAACAAATTCGACTAATTAATCTTTGCTTTACCATGTTTCTTAAAGGGACGCTGCTCCTTCTCTCTCGGATTCATTCGGTAGTCTGCTGGTATGATGAGGTATGAACAGCTTCTATAATCTCTCGATCATTTATACCGATAGGGACACATGATAATTGCTGGAATTGCCAAACTCTTGCTTGGCGCCCAAGACGCTGCCACTCTCGAAGCTCCTCTGCATTCATGGGAGAGACAATTTCCTGGTCAGCTAGTCTTTCTTCATTCTTGCGTTATCTTCACTGACTCCACAGGTTTATCGAATCTTCCTGCAGCGGCTACGTGGCCGGACAAGGTCAAGGATAACAACCTTCTCTCGGTAAGGATTAAGACACAACAGCTCATAGTGCTGTTTATAGATGTTCAACATCTGGCACCGTGTCTCGGCTATCACCAATCCGGGACACATCAAAATCGATCCACCCTATGGGTACCAACCGTATCCTGGCACTAGCGGCGTTGATATATTGGACGGTCTTCTCCGCGGAATTCCAAACCTGAAATGTCAGCAAATCACACTGCCATTCACCTGGACGTTTTTTTTTCAGCCTCTAAATGGATTGGTGACCAGCATATTATGAAACTAAATAAAGACATGGAGAAAACGTCTCTGAATGAATTCGCTTACAACATTCGGATAAGGTATGTTTTTGTTACCCTTCAAGGCACCATTGGAATTTCAGGTTTCTTATTCACATCTTTGGTGACTTACATCAACCGAACCACGCTTGCGAAGCTGTCTCAAAACAGTTTCCCCATGGCGATTCCACCGGTGGACAGGTAAGAGATTGAACAAGTTGAGTTCATGAAAAGCGAGAGAAGGATTTCTATTTTTGGTGAATGTGTTTCCTACACGTGATGTCTTTTGAAGGGTGCAGAGAATTGATTCTTTGACCTTTTAGATCAAGATTACGGACCCCAACGGAAGCCTCCACTTCTATTGGGATTCCTGCGCTAATCTCTATAAAACTTGGCAGAAAGATCTACCGGAACACGAAGTTATTGAGAAGGTTCGCCTCCATCGTTTGTGCGTTGATGACTTTTTGTCTTCCCTTAGGCAAAAGCTCTCATGGCAAAATATCCAGTTTCACATTTTGGTAAACGAATGGACATTAAAGACTTCCAAGGTGTAGCAAAAGAGACTTTCGGGATCTGCGAGAAATACGCCTACCCAGGTACATCAAACGGTGAGAATTCCTTCCGAGCTTGTTTCTCAGCTGTAGATTGGTCCGCCAGTGAACCATTTTCACTCCCCTACACTCTATCGGAAGACTTTGAGAAAAAAGCGGCAGAAATCTGCACCGAGCAAATCACTATAGCAGGATATCGGCTAGCAGAAGTTTTACGTCCCATCGCTGCTGCCGTACGTGAGACCGGAGTAGCAGGCGTATCCAATGTGCGAGTTGTCAAACGAGCATTAAGAAAGAAAGCAAGACGAAGGCGGTCGCCGAGACCAGCAAAAGTTGAGACTTGAACGTCTTGCTGCTGCTTTGGCCACTTGAGAAACAAAAACCAGCCTCGCTGGTTCATTTCTTTACTGATTACCAACTGATTCATCTTCGAAACCTCATACGAATTTCCTGTGAATGTTCATCACGCACTTCAGAATTTACAAAGAACATCAAGCACGATTGTTTCTTTCCATCCGAGTCCCAAATGTTTCAGCTCTGATATTCGCTCGCTTGCTATCATTGGCGGTGATAAGAGTTTCAACGTTTGAACAAAGCTCTTGTGAATCTCCACTTATACGCATTTCAGGGGGAAGTGATTCTCACTCCAGCAACAGAGAGGGACTAACGATGTTTCCATATTTCTGTTCTCGGCCACTTGCAAGAGGAACAGGGTAATCGAACATTGAAGGAACACCGGCTCATTTCTCGAAGAGCAGCAAATCTGCTTCAAACATAACATTGTGAGAATGGAAGTTCTGAACGCCACGTCGCATAACAAGGCTTCTACGTCGAGAACTCTGAATTTTAGGCTTTATCAAATATTTGTTATCGACAAAGAAAAACGATTTAGCAAAAGATGTGCTAGCGACTTCCGTGGCGCATCGCTCACTAAAGCGGATTGTCTCAATATCACCATCTAAGAAATCATTTTGAGGAGTTTTTGCGTTCCGACGTTCAGCATACCATCAAGAGAAGTAAACTCTCGAACAAACAGGTTATGGAGCTGCTGAGTGGTTATCGACCAGGGCAGATTCCGAACGAAGGCTACTGAGCCTGGGTCAGACGAAGAACCATGCGGGATCATCTGATGAAGGCTCTGCTGCAGCTACTGGTCTGTTATGGCGGCCACCGAAAGACTCGTCAACACCCTCCTAGGTCGCGCTCGACCATCGGACGCGACAACGTTTCAAGTATTCCACTAACTTCATGATCGCGTGACCTGCATCACAACAAATGAAGTCATCTCTCACCGGAGACCAGAACCAACCGAGCTTACCGAACCTGAGGAATGGCATCCACTCTGATTCCATCCGACTTCACTCTGTTTGAGCGCATCCGGACACTCCTGCTCTTAACAGTTGAACCTGCAGCACCAAATAGACGGCTTCGTTCCATCTTCCATTGGTTTCGAATATCGGATATTTCAGTCATGGTCTGGTTGTTCTCCGTTGTTTTGTTGTTCCGTTTGTAAAGTATTGTTTTTTGGTCATCACACTCATTAATTGCGTTTTCACTCACTTGATGTACTTTCCCACCACTAATAGGAAAACGGGACGGGAATATCCCTTGTGAGACTCTAAGGATGATCTTCTCATCGACAGCAATCTGACCTTTTTTTGCGGACAAAGAACAAATGCTATCAAATCTCATGTAAGGTCGAAGTCAATGAAAGTATTAAGCAGGATGAAGTTTGCAATACGAAAGTATCCTGCAAAAATTAGATATTTAATAGATTCAGACAGAATTTATGTTTTGAAAGCAACATGATAAACTTAGGATAACAATGAATGAAAGAGATCATAACCGCGGAGTGGGCGGGGGCAATCGTCCAGACTTGCACATCAGGATGAAAACGCGAGTTCAAATGTGGTTTTTTAAGATCCATGATTAGTGCTTGAATTGAGAGAAATTCTTCCGTGGGAAAATTTCAGAGTGACTCTAGACTCAAATCATGAATTCAGTTTCAATTCCTTGTGCGCATCAGCTCGACATCAGATGTAATCTGTCTTTGTGTTTCTTTTCGTCAACTTCAATGCACCTCAGGCTCGCCCCACAGGTGTCGTTGGAGACATCTCTAGATCTGCCGCTGTGGCCGCCTTCTTAGCCTTTTCGAGAAGTCTTTTTGCTTCCTGGATGAACGATGAGATTGGTAGGTTTGAGTTGTATGACTTTGCTTACGGCAAGTTCCTCCATTGCTTCGTTCGATAAGGCTACCGCATGTACACTTTGCTGACCTGCTTCCTGGACTTGTTCCGCTGCTGCTTTCAAGTCTGTATTGGCTATGGCTTGCGACGTCGTCGTTTCAGCTTGAGTGGCTTCCGCAGAAGCTTCCTGGTAGGCAACCCTAGCCTTTCTGATTTTCTTTGGAACAATATTCTACCTTGGCATGCTTCCTTGCATCTCCAATTAAATTTTGAGCCATGGTCTCTGACTCTGGAATGAGCAGAAGGTGGAACAGTTCACCAATATGACACCCTACCATGAGCCACCATTCGATGAGCTGCCGCTGCTGCTTCTGGTGTCAATGGGGGCATCGGAGCAGTCTTGAGAGCTTCTGCTTCCTGAGCTATTTCACTTGACGCTTGCTCCACAGCAGCTAAAGCTTTTTCGGTACTGGCTTTGGCGTTGAGTGACTCATGTGTTGCCAAGCGAGTTCTGTCTTCCTCAGCGATCTGCTTGTCCGTCCCTGTTTGAGTAGCATCATTCTCGTAATGCGGTTGGGAAGGTGGCGCAAACCCTACAACGTCAACCAACATACATTCTGTTGGACCTCTCTCTGACTAACCTGCCGTGCGACTGGTTTGCCGACGAAGAAGAATACCTTTTGCTGCAACAACAAGGAGAACCAGCAGTAGTATCCAACTTAGCTTCATTTAGTGACCCAACAACTTCAAATTTACTGTTTGTATTTCTACACTGAAAAAATCTGGACTCAAACTAGAAGTGTTTCAATGGCCAAAACAAAAACGCGCCGAAGCAGTAACGCCACAAAAGAACCAACAAAAGTTTCCAGTCTCAAAATTCAAAAGAAATCAGCTTCCCCCAACAAGAAAGGCAGTGACGATGAAAATAATCGACCGACCCACCATTACTTAGTGAAGAGCGAGCCAGATTCAAGTAAGACCTTGGGAAAGAACGGCGCCGCCTTCACTTTTGTCAGGGTTCGAAAATGGAATAGATATGAAGTTCAGTATTGAAGACTTGAAGGAGCGACCCAATCAGACCGAGCATTGGTAAGAAAATGAAGCAATATTGTGCCTTTCATGAAATTCTCTAGGGATGGCGTGAGAAACTATCAAGCAAGAAATATCTTGAAATCGATGCGTCTCGGAGATCTGGCCTTTTTTTATCATTCGAATTGCAAAGAGCCAGGAATTGTTGGGATTGTGAAGATTGTAAAGGAATATTATGCCGATCATACGCAATTCGAAAAGGATGTAAGCGGAGATGATGATAGAGTGGGAATGTCTTTCTTTTTCCTAGAATCCGCATTACGACCCAAAAAGCGACCCCAACGATCCTAAATGGGGCATGGTGGACGTCCAAGTAGGAAAGAACTAGACACCTGATAGACGGCTGGCATTCTCTGTTTTTTGATTCAGTTCATCCGTGACTTGAAGCGTCCCATCTTTCTCTCGGAACTCAAAAGTCTCGTCGATTCAGATGATTGCCCTCCTGCGATCCGATCACTGTCTCTGTTGAGTCGTTCGCGCCTGTCTTGTCAGTCACTAACGGCAGATCAATGGAGATGCCTGTTAGACCTCGAAGGAGCTGATGATGGATCACTCTCGAAAAATTGAGCGATTCTGGATCTTCCTGTTGAAGCCTAAATGTAGAACAAATCGCTCAGAGAACAAAATAGTGGTTGGTGTTCGATTCAGATGAGATTATAGTGTTTGGGGTAGTGCTACATCGACACCAGTTAAGTTTTCAATAATTGCGTAGAGAGGGGATGTTGATGCCTTAGGCCACGATTTGAACTTCTTGCTCATCAGAGACTCGAACTGAAAGAATATTCAATTAGAAAAATGAAGGGGCCCTTAATAAATATCGATGTTCCGACAAACTATCAGCCACTTACCACACTCAGGAGCGTCGATGGAGTCGCCGTATACAAATATCCTCCTGCCTCGAGTTTATCACCGATTTGCCTTTGATGATTTTCCATCAGAGACTCATTGATGACAACAAGAAGATGTTTCTAAAATGGAACGTGTTGTAGTGATTGCGATTCCACTGATGGACTGACATTCATTCTCAATACTTCTAGAATCGTGCCAGCTCCTGCATGTCCAATCACTAAATCTGCATTTTGCAAATCTTCAATCCAATTTTGTGAAAATCGATAAACAGTCACATTCAAATATTGTTGACGCTGATTTTGTGAAGTCTCTGATTTCCGAACCAATGGGTTAATCCCCTCAACGCCAAATCCATTAGGTAGAAGGTTGCCCCTGAAGATCACAATGGAGTTATGAACCACGAACAGCAATTCGTACGTCCCAATTTGAAATATCGCTCTCCCGAATCCATGCCCTTTCGCGATATGGTGGAATGCAGCGGTGTCCACAACTCTAATGAGAGCATCAAAACTTGTTGTGCCCACCGTCACAACCAAAGTTTTTGGGGGCGTAGTCATCAGGTCTGCTGCCATCAACGTGACTATCTCCCCGATTTTCACACATGTTGTGGGGCAAAACGGAGCAATTTTTCATTTTCTTCCGCACTTTTCTTATTTTGACCACCAATTTTATTAGTCACTGTTGTTCTGTAATGCTGCAAATAAGCGTCATATATATCTATTTGTGACATCTATGAGTCTCCGGTGACACACGCTCGTCACAAAGACACTCATGTCGTGTGTCTCTTGTTTCATATCCTCACAAAAGTTGAATTTCTTCCTTAAGTTCATTCCTGATCCAATTTTGCCACTGTGTTGTTTACTGTGTGTTGTTGAGCAGCTATGTAATGTGTTCCTAAGGAGGCTTGTAGTAGTTAGAGTAGCAGTTGGTTTCTTGAACTTAAAATTATTTCAATCCAAAATAATTTGATGATTGGGTAAAACCTGATTACAAACCAGAATGTCCCACATATCCCACTCCATCTCTTAATCGAGTGGACTCTCTTACAAATCCGTTATTTTATAACGGCTCGTATTTTTTGCAACACACTTCTTCCCTTCAATATTCCGTTTCTTGACTAGAACTTCAACTCTACATTTTTTGTTCATTCAACATCTACAATCAGACCGTATTTGATTCTGTTTCATCTTGCCCACACGACATGAACATTTCCAAATTGCATCCGTTGAACATTCGTGAAACTTGGAAGTCATGTGTCTGCAGTAGCCATCACGAACAGCCAAGGCTCCCAAGACAACAGCAAAGCCACCCAAGACAACGGAAGAGCCTTCAAAGCCAACAGAAAAGCGGTGGTCTCGATTGGAGACCGTGGGGGTTTGATGAGCTCTGCTGTCGCCCAGTTGCACTCGAATCATCCTGGCATCGATTTGTCAGACCCCTTCGAGATTGCTGTCCAGTCAGACGCCATCGTTGCTGCCTAACAAAAAAACAACCTGCGTTCAATGTAAGAGGACAAAAAGATGAAGCGAATTCTGCGACTCTCAAGAAACAATCAATCGATTTGAAAGAGATTTATTACCAGCGTGTTCCTATTGAAGATTGTGTGGCTTTGGCTACACCATGTTCTGATGATGCTCTAGCGCTGTTGCATGAGATTGGAACAATCGTTGCAGATTTTCAGAGAGAAACACGTGAAGATGCGAAGGTACTGAGACAATTACGAAACAAGTAGTTTCCCGTTTTGGATTCTAGGACGTTTTGAAGATGACCTTATTGGAGCGTCTGCAGTATTCAAGTCGAGAGGAAGAGAGCAGGCTTAACAGAGCGCTTCAACCTCGTCTTGCCCTCAAGCGAAAAAGAAGAAACAAGCTCTTGAATTGCTTGTTACCACGGTACCTTCCACAACTAGAAGGGTTGGAAGCACGAGAAAGTGATTTGGAAGCGAAACAGCATTTGGCGCAACGTGAGCGTATCTTTGGTAAGCAGTAGCCACCTTGTACATGCACTGGCTGTGAATTTATAGTCAAATCTGCAAATGGCGATCATGTTAAGGAGGAAAGCGGAAATCACTATAAGGAGTTCATGTCTCAATTTGTGACAGAAGGTACGGTATCTCGCACCTATTTGATAGTGTTGTTTGTTTTGATAATGGTTTGAAGTGTACTTGTTCTATCTATTCACAATAGTTTGTTCTTTCTTTTCTTTTTTCTTTGTTTTTGTGTTTATAATGTTCTATGCTTTCGTATGCAGCTACTATTACCTTTCATATTTCACGTGATCTGTTGTTCAATTTCTTAATGTACAGTTCTATTCATCAATAAATTGTTTTATATTCTGATAATATATGTGCCAGGAGCATCCGAACAACTCTTGAGTGTTCGAGATCCTTTCATCCGCCATCAAATGTGCAGAGATGACCTCGATGGGCGATTATCCGATGCCGAAACTGTTTGCCCATCTCAGCTAATGGAATCCTTGAGTTGTTTGGATAACGAGTCCATCTGCTGTTCTAGTACGGAACCTGAACCCGCTCTCGAGATGGATGACTACGAGGTTGATACGCGCTCTATGGATGGCGGTGCTCCATCTCCCTCCTTAACTCCGTTGTGCAAATTCCTTCCTGAGTGTTCGGACAACCCAAACCCCAGCTCGATTCCATTCGAAGCCTCAGGAAGTCTATCAAATTGCAACACAGCTGAGACCGATCACTTGAATGAGATTCTAAGTTCAGCGAGCTCATCACAGGAACAAGTCGCATCGCATGAGACGCTCTCGCCTCTTCTGGAGGCTCCAATTTGGTCAAGGCGAACAAGCGCCAGCTCGTGCAAAAGTCGGCAGTTTTTCAGAAAACGGTTTGAGCAGGAAACCCAGTCCCCTCTATGTGCTTCAGTTGAGTTCAATAAGGAAGATGTACCTCCAGAAGTGATTCACACTCCAGAAGTGATTCACACAAGAAATCCCGTTCCATTCACTCCTCAGCCCACAAGTGTTGCTGGTGAAACCTCCCCCTCTAGAAAGCCCAACTTCAGAAGACCACCATTATTTGCGCGACATCAAGTTCAATCAAACAGTTGAGTCTGATGATTCTGATGCAATAAAAGCACAGAATGAATCATTCCATCTGCCAATTTTTCAATCATGTCCCAAACGTCTTGCAAGTATTGGTGCACTTTCTTGTGACTCGTCCGATGTATCGATTTCCGCCTCCGTTATTCGGTTTTTCAAACGCTCTAAGAGATTTTGCTTTGCGTCTCAGCAACTTCGAAGCGCCAAGTCAGCCCCATGGTTCACCACATCCTTGACTGAAAAAGACACTTTGTCCTGCGAAGAGACTCAGCACAATGTTTCACAGTCATCTTCCGTGGCAAAAGAGGACGGTTTATGGAATGGAGCGGAGGAAGGTGAAAACGTGATCAGATATCAGTCTCTCAAAACGAACAACGAAGAAAGTGACCAAGAGATGGATCATGGAATACAATCAAAGGAAAGGAAGCAAGCTCTGCTCAAATGGACCAGTGAAGTTCAGGATTTCACCCCAAGATCATCTCGTGAGAAAGACTCAGTACAACAAGATCAACTTCAAAGAAATAATACGAGGTGTCCTCTAACGTTTGGTAGAAGTGTTGGAGTCTTTGCTTCTGGTAGTGCAGACAATGAATACGAAGACGCTGAATCGAGAACTGACCGTTTTTCGATGAGCCCAAGCGATGAAGTGCCTTCTCCATCTATCAGCGACAATCAATACAAAATCAACAGAAATTCGCCTTCCTTATCTCTAGAGGTGAAAATTCTGAGAAAGAGCTCGTTGAAGGATCAAAAGCTTCGCCTCAGATCTGCTGGCTGCGTTCGTTCGTCTTATTGCAAAGAAAATGTTGGGAAGGAAGGAGAAGACGCTTTTTTCATCTCGTAAGCGTGTTCCCAATTTCATCCTTAATGTACTTTTTTCTCTCGCTCCAAAATCAGTTCTCGAGCAATTGGAGTCGCTGATGGAGTTTCTGAATGGACAACTTTTGGCGTTAATGCGTCAAGATTTCCTCGTAAGAAGAAGGATTGAGCCTGCAAACATGTTGGTAACTGTTTAGGGGAACTGATGCAACGCTGTGAGGTATTGAGTGAAGACAAGACTTGCACTGGTTTCGACGATGGAATTCGTAATCGCGCCCATTTCTTGATCGATTCAGCGATGGGACAAACAACTTCGATTGGTGGAAGCACTATTTGTGTTGGTTGTATAAACGAGAAAGGAAATCAACTTGAATACGCGAATTTAGGGGACTCAAGTGTCGCTGTATTTAACCGAGATTTAGAAACTGGAAGATTTATTCTCCATTTTAAATCTCAAGAGCAACAGGTTCGCTGCATTTCATTCAACTTCATTCATTTTCCTTTCCTTAGCATTTCGATAATGTTCCCTATCAACTAACCCGGCTCCCATCTTACACAGAGCTTCAAAATTTAGAAGATGCAGGTCTCCTCACTCTCGCTGATCTTGTTCGTCGCAGTTTTCGTTCCGGCTTCAAAGGGGATTCCGTGAAGAAGGACGCGCAAACGGGACAGATTGATCTTATCGAGGGATCCCTCGTTCTTATCGCTACTGATGGATTTTGGGACAACATCCATGTAGAGGAGGTAGAGGAGCTCATCTCAGCGTCCCTTCCGTCCTTTCAAGTAATCAAGTTGACGTTTGTCGATTTACATTTCTGTCATTTCAGTCAAGGGATGACGAGTGTGGCTCAAACTATGCTTGTCCCAAATTTCTCTCAAAACTTCTAGTTGATGCTGCTTATGAGAGATCAAAGCGTCCTCCCATGCGTTTTCCATCTCGATCTCTAAAAAAGGATTCTTCTGTAACGAGGGGTGGCAAAGCAGATGACATTGCAGTGGGTCACACAGTTGATGATTAGAACGATTTGTTCAGGGGCCACTTCAACCCCATTCATGGTGTTTCTCCTTACAGCTAGTCCTTAGTTGGGCTCTTATGGCTTGAGGTGCATTCGTTCCATTTCTTCGCCAAACTTTTTACGTTTGATTTGCTTTTACGGTTTCGATGGCAAGTAAAGGTCTCTACTGAAAGGTGTATGAAAAAACAGGACGATAGTAACTAAGCAAACTACTGAGTGGAAAAAAAGACACTCCATTCAAAATTAGTGGGAAGTTGCAACGAGCGGAAATTTATGCACGACGCCGCTTGTTGATTCACTTTCCTTCCCTCCCACTTCTTCACTGACCTTAACCGCCTGTACATTTGCCCTTCCCCCTGACTTCCTCTGGGTCAGATCGCATTCCTGCATCCTCGAGTTTGGTGTCTGAAGGTTGCGGTATTGGGACTTCACCACTAGAAGAACAAGACGGAGATTCGAGTGAACTTTCTTCGTTACTTTTGGAAGAGGAGGGAGTTATTTGACAAATTCGGCCGTCAGACGTGGAAGCGGTGGATACATTGACTCTCTGAAGCAGAATAGTTATTGAACAACTTCGATTTCTCCAAGTCATTTTATTCTACTATGATCACAAACAGTAGTTCCGACCTGACGTTTGAGCTTCACTTCACGTTCATCTTGAGTGTCATCCGTCATCCTTTCAGATCTTTTTCGACTAAGCCTTTCTGGCCCCGCTACTGCGTCACCTTTCTCAAGGTTCATCAAATCGTCCTTCGTGTTTCGTCTTGTCTTACGAATCAAAGCACTCCCTTCTTTGGCTGTTTTCATTTGACGATCACTATCATCGTCATCTCGCTTCTGGCTTCGATTTTTTCTACCTCTCCCCCCGCTTGGATCGGCTGATCTATCCTGAGATTCATCTGCTCTATTCCTGTCTCCTTTCGTGTCTTTGCTTCCAGGATCGTCATCTTCATCCAATTCGTCGCTGCAATCATCTAACTCATCTGGATCGTCGACGTGACAATGATGACGATGAAAAAATCCGAATGGTTGGTCGCATTGAATTTCCTGTCCTGTTTCCTGAGAAAATACACACTTTAGTCATCGGGGCTTCCTCCTACACCTACTCACAGCATCAGTATGGTGCTCAATCCAACAGTACAGCAACGCTTTATGCAACATCGAAACCAAACAATTTGGAGGCAGTCGTGGGCCTAACTGTTGCAGAATGGATTCCGATACAGCATTCGCTGTTGCGGTGCCTGATGGTGTTGCGCTTGACGTTGGCGCCCCTCTGTTACCCTTCAGAATTCCTGTAACGGTCCCAAGAGCTGTTCCAGAAGGTAGAGTGATTGGTTGCACCAAGTTGGCTTCTGATCCCAGAACGAATGCAGAATGAACAAACCCAGATTCTTGGAGATACCGATAGATGAGAAGGTTCACTTCATCGCTATGGAGGATCACCTTCATTTGATTAGAGCTGTTCCCCTGATGATTAACACAATAGTATTTGATAAAGTATGAAGCTATTGGGTTTTATTCATAAAAGGAACTCTCTATTGAACCTGAGATCTTGTGATACAACTTTTCTGCTTTCCTAATCTGGACAGATCATGTCGATTGAAGAATATAGGGAACGACAACGCCAAGCGTATCTTCAGCGAAAGAGAGACCGGAGTGGCGATAGAGAGGAAATTTCAACTCGGGCTGAAAGAGAAGATAATTTCGGAAATTCCCTTCCTGCAACTGGATCATCATTGAGACCCTCGTCATTGGAAAGAGCTCCTGTTCCTCGACCAGCGTCTTCATTTGAGCAAATTCCTTCTTCCTCGTCATCTCCTCTGGCTCCAATAGACGATACATCTAACGACGCTCTTCTAGCTGAGCTACTAGCAGCAGAGGTGGAAGAAGAGTTACGAAGAAAGGAGAACGATGAGATGCAGGAAGAGATGGACCCCGAAACAGCCGCTGAAATCGCCCGGCTGATGGAGCGTGATACAGATGATCTCGATGACAACAGAATCGGTGGAGTTCGTATTCCTGATGAAATTTTCCAAGAACAGTTAATCAGTGATGCTGACTCACCCCCCCGCCACACCCCACCAGTTAGAATACGTAGGCAAAATCGTGTCCCAACCATGTCCCAATTATGTCCCCTTCATCTCCCCTTCAGGCAGTAATCATCATCTCACAGACGATGAGTTGGCGCGTCGCTTGCAAGAAGAAGAATTTCTTCAAGAGTCTTATGGACCACTTCAGGGATCATCCAGGTTAGTTCCAGTTCCCTCGGTCTGTAATAATAGACAACCAGTCGGCAACATGGAAGGGACAAACTACCCGCGAAGTCAGATTGGGACAGTCCCCCAGCAAAATCGGGGTGTGATAAACCATCATCAAGGTCGTACCGAGACAAACCGCGGTCAAGGCCGTATTGGGGAAGACCGTCAATATCGAATCAGAAAGAATCATTATCACATTCGGATTGGGACAGACTATCATCAAGTTCGAATGGGGAAAAACGAACCGAGCTTCTCAAGATGTATTTTGATGCAGTTGCACCAGTTGAGCCAGCGCATTAAGACAGTTTGTCGAGGAAAAGGCAGCAACGAGAAGAACGATGATCCACTTCCTGCCAAATCAGATCGTCATGAATCTCCCGACCTCTATGAACGATATCGTATCGAATCAGATCTCGATCAATTCAGCATTCAGGCATTTCATTGCTCTGATGACACAGAGCATCACTATGGGGGAATGCCGAGAACCCGTCCCAGGCGGCGTTACGTACAGACAGAGCCCAAAGAGGAAAAAACTGCACGCCGAATCAGAACCGCGGAGTCACTGGAACGTCAACAGAAAGAGGAACGCCGCATTGCACGTCGATTTGAACGTCGATTGGAACGTCACTTCAAAAACGAGCTGAGAAATCAAATCGATTATCAGATGGCGAAACCTCCTGCCCGTTCTTCCAGCAAAAGACGAACCAGACGTCCCAATAAAATGATTGAAACTAATCAGAAAGAAGAGTTGTCAATCATCAACTGCATAGGACCAAACCCACCACCATCACCAGAGCCACCACCACAACGATCACAACCACCACCACCATCATCACCACTGAATAATGTTGCAGAACCACCACCATCATCACCACGGCGGAGATTCTCGCCATCGATTCCTTTATCGGCCGCCCTTGCCAAATTGAAACGTGTTCCAGCTGAACTCAAGCGTGATGTCCATCCTTCTCTATGGGAACCTCGTTCATTTAGTACAAAATGGCCCACTGGCGACCTTTATGAGCCGCCTTCTAGTGTATTTATTAGTTCGCTCACTGATCGCCCTGCATGTCCATCTCTGCTACTCTCAGATGACGAAGACCTTGAGTCGGAGGACACCGTACCATTCTATTACGGGGACGACGCTCTTCGTCTGAGAGATCTGCCAACAGACGACTTTCTATGGCAACAATGAATGAACTTTTGTTTGCATGTGCTTGTTGCTAAATTGTTTCTATAGAATTCCCTTGGTTTTTCTGTTTTGATTCAACTATCATGCCTGATAGTGTCAAGAGAGTTCGCTGTAAAATGGGTGACGATCGTCCATTCCCATCACCACGACACACGCCCCTGAACCCAATCAAGCTCCCCCAACCAATCAAGCCCCCGTCGGAGAAGCCAAGTCCATCAAGTCTTCCACTTCGGGGAGTTGAAAACAAGAAACCTGCGTTGACAGTTTTCCGACCTCCACTCAGCCCCTTGAAATCTTCTAGACAGACGCAAGCCCGACCGTTTCGAAACGAGTTCACACCAATGGCGGTGATCACGAATCTCGAACCGTTCAAAGTGTCGCCAACACAAACAACGACAGCTGGTGTCGGGAGCACTCCTACACCTTTACCCACAACACCTCGACTGACTTCGTCGCGTCCGGTTCCGCGGCCCTCACCGATTGTTGGACACGTCAACGGTGCAGGGGGTTAGCCGATCGAGGATCAGCGTCTCACATTTCTATTTGTTTGTCCAGAGCTCGATCTGAGTGGCCCCAAAGTTGAGAAGTGTGTTGTTACTCCAAATGAACGACTCCTTGTGAGTCTCAAGCTTCCACTTGTCGATCATCACTTTTGGCAGAGTTCTATTTCCGCGATTCCTCCCCTTGATTCACTTGAGGCTGTTCCCATAGCGGGTCGTTGGAAATGTCAACGACGGATTGGAAGCGGATCATTTGGAGAAACGTATTTAGGTCTGAGATGTTTGAGGAACCTCTTGTCCCAATTGCTGTTGACTTTGTTTCAGCTGTCGATGTCGAATCTGAGACGAAAGTCGCCGTAAAAGTCGTAAGAAATCGATGTCTTGTGCGGCATGATGTGTTCGATAGGAACCTATGAAAGCACGACACCCACAACTATTTCATGAAGCCAAAATTCTGCGACAAATGCAACGAAGTGGTACTCCATCCTAAGATTCAGTGTATTTTCGGTAGCCAGACATCATTCGATTGCGTTATTTTCGTTTTCATTGTTTCATGATTTCTTGTCAGTCGGATTTCCCAAAATCTATCATTTTGGTGTTCACTGCGGCGGACATAAGGTGATTGTCATGGAGCTTCTTGGACCAACATTGGAAGAAGTCTTTACTCGTTGGGCGGATAGACAATTGGATGTAGCGACAGTGGCTCTCGTGGGGATCGAGATGGTGAGCGGACTCCACGCCGCTGTTGATGTGTCCGTCGTTCAGGTCGATCGACTGGAAGCTCTCCATCGGGAGGGTTTTGTTCATCGAGACGTTAAACCAGAAAATTTTTTGATAGCAAACAAGGCCCACTGCAAGGTCAGTGTATCAGATTGTGTCTACAAACACCAAGATGACACCTTCAACTGTTTCAGTTCATTTTCTATGCATTCAGGTGGTTTGTATTGATTTCGGGTTGGCAAAACGCTTTCTCGATCCCCAGACAAAAGCCCATCTTCCCTACAACGACCGCAGAAGCCTGACGGGAACGGCGCGTTACGCGTCTGTTAACGCTCACATGGGAGTTGAACCCAGCCGACGTGACGATTTGATTTCCGCCGGGTATACGCTGATCTACTTGGCGAGAGGTAAACCAGAAGGGTGATAATATCGCAATCAAATTGATATCGATCAGGGGGGTGCCTGCCATGGCAGGGTCTTTTTGCGAATACCAAAGAGGAAAAATATGAAAAGATCATGCAAAAAAAAATAGATACTTCAACGAAGGTGTTATGTGCGGAACTTCCAGGTATGGGATCGCTACCCATTCTTGTTGTTTCTGAATTGTTTGTTTAGATGCTTTTGCTAAATTTTAAGGCATTGTGAAGATCTGGGATTCGATCAAGCACCCGATTACAACTATTTGAGAAGTCTTTTAAGTTCGGTAGTTGCAGACAAAAAAACCCTACCGGTATGAAAAATGGATCTGACGATCATCTGACGGATGCCTTACAGATATCGAACGGCCTGCAACGGAAGAAAGACATTCCCGTTAAGAGTAGGATCACTTCTAATTTGAGAAGTGGGCGCCTGTTTGGTTTCAGGCCGCAATCACCTCTTGACGGCTTTTGAAAGCGGACTCAAAAAACTCCATCAAAGCAAGGGGGATGGAGTCTTTCCTGATCCCTTTGTAGCGCAGCAGCGCGAATGCAACGCTACTGCACCAAGGCAGCGACCTGGTGGGCACGTTGGCGTCATCGATTCAAGAGGAATCTCGGTGGGGGGATGTCTCATTAATGCCGTTCACTTATTTGTCCTTCCAGCCATTCTTTTACGAGGATGGCAACCTACGCAAGTACGATCCAAAGAGCTTTGGGAATTTATGAAATTGCTACTTTTAGACGGCAGGCCAGAAGGGGGGCGTGGAATTTTTTGCTTGAATTGCGTAGGTGTGTTCGTCGATTCTCCATTTATGCTCCATTATGCAGGCGAGGGAAGGCGACGCTAGCGATTAAATCTTGTGCTGTAATAGAGTGTTTTTTTCGTGAAGTTAATTTTTTCAAATTTGAAACGATTTGATTTGTTCAGATTCTTTACATTCTCAAATCAAACTAGAAAACAGATTCAACTACACGACAGAATGCTATTCTCCCCGTGTAGGAAAGCTCCAGCTCAGCATCAGAGATCATGGCGATCGTGAAATCGCCAGACGTTCCTTCTGATTGAACGCGCAAGGAGCACAGAGGTGACTCCAGAGGAACCAGAGTCGGAGCAGCATGATGATGAAGGTGGTGATCGGTGGAACTCGGAGTTCTCAGAACAACAGGGGAAACCACCACGAAATAGGGTTGGTAGTCGAGATGAAACAAAAAATTGGACAAGGTGACAACAGACTGAAGAAAGCCGAACATCACTTGAGCCATTGTTCTTGTCTCTTACTTGTTTTCTGTAAAGATCCTGTGCGGCGCTGCTAACGGGACGGCCAGGTTCGCTTTGGCCTCCTTCAAGGTCACTCTTAGCTATCGCAACAACGACCGTCGAATCTGAAACGGATACACAAGCGCAATATGTCTGAGAAAAACAATTGAAATTGATATCAACTCACCGAGTCGACCATGAGTAGCTTCCACAACCTCATCTGAAAAACAACATAGAGTCACTGGACAGCTACGTTGCGGACCATACGTGATAATCGCTTCCGATAAACAACAATGGATGGCAAAATTTCGCTGTGACTGATTCGATGGATTGTCAAACGAAGAGAGACCTGAAGAGGGAAAGCAACATTAGAAAATATATCAAAAGCTCCCATCACGTCAACATCAATTGGAAATCCACCAGAAGGGTGCCAATGGTTCAGAGGTGACATTGAGCACGTACATTTACAGGGGTACTGTAGTGTCGACCCTGAACTGCGGTGATCTTCAGCATATCGCCAAAACCCTTGATAGGCTTCTGACGCCGTGAAGATGGCGTGGAGCAACGAATCTCGCGACAGAAAAACTCAGAAAGCGGAGGTGAGCAGTAAGGGTGAGGCAAGGGGGGCAAGGACGATGCCTGAAATAAAGATCAACATACGAAAATGAGTCCCTTGTGCGACATTGGAACAGACGAAGAAACAGCACGAGTCACCCACCACTATTGGGGACATCTGGAAGAGGATCCGAGAAATTGCCAGTATGCAAACAAATCTGATACTCTCCAGTTTCCTTAGGGACGAAAAGTAGACGCAACGAGGGTGTAGACTCCAGCTTCTAAGCGAGCTTGAATGATGCAACAACCTGAGCGATAGGGACCTGAACTGGTCGCTCTGCCTGATCTCAACAAACGAGCAGTTGCTGTTGCGTGTTTGAAAATACGAAGATTAACCGAATGTTCCTATAAAATAAGGCAAGCGCATAAAAATGATGCGATTGATCGAGATGATGGAATCAAGACGGAGAAAAGAACAAGCAATAATATTTTTGCGTGTTCGCTTGATCTGCTCACTTCAGGACACTCCAGGAATAACACGACATCAGCAGTAACAGGGAGATACAAACGAGTTTGGGGATTTTTGAAATACGCCCACAAGTCGTTCGAACATCCACCCGCTGTGGAAACCTCCCACTTTCCCTTTCGGTAGAAATCAAGCCACCCTGATGCTGGAGGGATAAGAGGTGGCAACTGCGTCAAGGTGGTGTGGACACGAGAGTAAACTTTAATTGTGAAATTAAACTCGTCCTTCTGTGAATATTGGGACACAACCAATACAAACTTCTGACTGGTTAACACAGGAGTGGCAGATTCTTCCTCATCGGGAGATTCTACTTTATTATTTTCCATTTGGAGAAAGTCGAATACGGAGCTTGACAAGACTGCACTCGCCATTTGAATAGATTCCCTGCTTGGTAGGCGGGGGGGGACAAGAGACCCGTTCATCACCTAAAGCATCCGGAAGAATCACTTAAAGCACGCACCAGACGGGGGACGTACCGGCATGAACGTGAACAGCAAGATATTTTTGGGACAGATCCCGTTTTCTCTCTCTAACGTGCCTGCTAAGTAATACCCAAACTTCAACAACGTCCTCCTTGTTTTCTTCGTTTTTGGACCGCCTGCGACCTTGCGGGGAAACTGTCAATTTGAACTGCGGATTGAATGCAACTAAATGAGAATCGTCGGGTAGAAGAGAACTCCCAATATATGAGGTACGATCCCATCTAATCAGAAGGATTTGCGAACGAGAGTGCAGGCTTCGAAAGACTTACTTGCTATGGATTTCGGACTGATAGGGGAAGCAGGTAGAATTCCAGCAGATGTAGAGATGACTGAACCATTTAACAACATCAACCCAATCTATCCAGAAGCATCCATCATCGGCCTCAACCTGAAGACATGCAGGTCTTAAGATGTAGAAGTTAATTTTGAGATTGGAGGAAAACTGAAGAGAGTTGGTTCATTCGTTCGTACCCGCTTAGCCCGATCGTAATTTAGTTCGCGCTGCAATTCATGTGTCCACGAATATTCGTCGTATGGGCTGTACTTTCCTCTCCAACGAATACAACACCAGGGATTCTTCACATGAAGTAACCGAGCGCCTCTTATCTAAAACCAACCAATGGACAACACGATGACGTCGACTGTTTGCTAACCTCTCGGAAATTAAGGACAGAATACGCGTGGCGCGCGACGATTCCACTTGACTGGCTCACGCCTTCGGGAAAGTCGAGTCCGCTCGGTGCAGCGTCGGCAACTTCTGAAGTTCCCAAACACGCCACACACCTGAGACGCCGAGTGAAACACAAATAAGATGAATCTCACTTTCCGTTCACGAATCCTTCATAAAGTTGATCCCAGACTCCATCCCACTTTGCGTCAATAACAAAATTGACACTATCAACACCTCCTATAAATCAGCAATTGAGGTTTATTGCAATAATCGATCTACCTGTAACAATTGGTCGATGGGTGTCTGGACTTCCAGTGTGAATGTCCATTCTGAAGGGAATTGTTTCCGGAATCCAACCAGTTAGATGATAAAGATCGGCACCAGGATTGGATCCTTGCATGAAGTAACTTCCGCCCATCAGTTTCACAAAACTTTTCTCTAAGAGAGTCACCCAATATTCTCGTCGATTAGGACGTATGGGCCGCCAAGAGTTTCCCTGCAACAAAAAGAGATCGACAGATCTCTCAATATCGATCATCCTACCGTCCCTTCGGAATGGAACATAATCATCTAAGAGAACCTTTCTAGGAACCCCATTGAAATAAAGACGACAGGCATAAATCCCTGAGAGAAAATGAATCTAGAAGAGTAAATATCTGGTGATTAACAAACCTTTCGAGTTTATAAGAGGGACGATTTTGTTAGGATCATCAGGGTGCGGCTGTTGCGGATAAATGATTCCAGTCACAACTGGCATGTCGTGTCGATGCTCAAACTCAGCCAGAACGGCGAGGGACGAAAGGAAGGAACAATCCCCAACGAACCCTTGACGAATCGAGCTACAAAGAGACACAATTTGTTAAATATACTCTGTCAATGCTATTGGTTATCTTTTTGTCGTAGATCAATACAAACCTTGATTTCGGCCTGTCTGCCACCACACAGAGCTGCCCATCTCCTCCTTGGGACTCCTCGATTTCTGTGATGCGCCTCCAGGCGTGAAACTTCGCTCTTTGCTTTTGGGACAAACTGATAAATCCATCAGGGTCAGTCCATTTTCCGTCATCTAAATTCCAACCATCGCAGAAAACACCAGGACCATCAAACGCTCTCATGTCGATAGTTGAAGGGTCGGACAAAGATCGATTGGATGTCAAATTGATCATCTTTGATCGACAAACGATTGATGGATGCTCACTCATGGCGTATCCATCACCCATTATTACTGTTGTTGTATTTTCCTGACAGTGTTGGCGTCGAGTGTCATCTGTGAAAAGCCCATTCGTTTCACGACAGGGATTTTTTTCTACGTGAGTGGTTCTGACAAATTGCTCCTCATTGGTTGGCCCGCGTGAGGGTCTTCCAAACCTCCGACTCAGTGACTGTCGACGTCCTCGCAGATCACTTTGGGCATCGTCACGAAGCCCAGAAAAATAGTCGACTTCTGCTCGGCCTGAACAGTGGAACGGCAAGTCACGAACCATGCGAAATGGTCGGGATCCATCTCTCGTTTGAAGATCCCATCTCACGTCGGGGTCGCTACGCCGTTGTCCGTCATGTCCCGTCGTGTCATTGTCACTATCGCTGCTTCCATACGAAACACCAGAGAAGTCAATATCGGGCGATGTGAGACGCGCGTTACTGTTGGCATCGGACGAACCATTCCGACCCTCGGAGCGTCCGTCATTGTCACGCCAGTGTAGACGGCGAC